GACATATGTAAAAGAAACTTCAAAAATCCACCAGGGTAGAGCTTTTGCCCTTTAAAATGGAAGTAACGAGAAGACCTGGGCACATAAAGCAGGAAGGAGGGAATGGGCAAAACCTGGAAACAGTGCTGGAAGGAGGCGGGATCCCAGGGAAATCAGAGCGAGGATAAAGGCCCCTGACGTGTTTGCTGTTAGGAAAATTGTGGTCCTTTACGGGTTCCAGGCTGAATCAGCGCTTTTAGGCGACCAGAACCAGTGCTGGCCGGAGGGTCTGTGCAAGTTAGGAAAAGTGCTCCCCACCCCCACCCCTTGGGCAGATGCAGCCAGGCCCTGGGCACGGACACATGGTGGGGACCCAGTGAGGGATTCGAGTGGCTCGCAGGCCAGGTTCAGCCCATCGCTGCCTCGCCCAGCGGCCTCATGGTAACTAGTGGGTGGCCCTGTTGCTGGTTCCCTGTCTAAAGAGCTATGGGTTTGTGTTCAGCATGTACTATCCTCAGACTCGTTGCCCAGGTCAGGGTCCCCGCAGGCTCCAGGCTACTTCCCAGAGCCCTTGAGCGATCCAGAAACGTGGTGAATCCTGTTGGAAGTCAGTCCTGGGGCCACAGAAGGCCTTGGGCTCTTTCCCCACAGGCTGAGTGGCCCATGTGGACTCGGACCCCCATTCCCTGCCCAGGAGCCCAGGGCAATACCCGTGGGGATGGGTGGGGCGGGGGGGATGGCCGGACACGGCCAAGATGGGGAAGAGGCTCCTGGAAGGCTTGGAGCAGCTGTGGGCGTCTTGGCGACCTGGTGGGCTGACCGTGCACCTTCCATCCCCACAGGATATCAACAATGCCTGGGGCTGCCTGGAGCAGGCAGAGAAGGGCTATGAGGAGTGGCTGCTGAATGAGATCCGGAGGCTGGAGAGGCTTGACCACCTGGCGGAGAAGTTCCGGCAGAAGGCTTCCATCCACGAGGCCTGGACGGACGGTGAGGCGGCCCAGCTTTCACGCTCCCCCAGCCCAGCCATCAGCACAACTCTCTTCTCTTGCTTTGTTGGTTTCGTTCTCTCTTACTGGGGCTTTGGCTTTAGGCACGTTCGGTTGCCCCAGCGTTCTCATCTGTAAAGTGGGGGTGATAGTAGCGCCCGTCTGCTTGGTTTATGAGGATGAAGTGAACTAGTACATGTGAAGCAGCGAGAGAAGTTCCTGGCGTGGTCCAGAGCTAGGCCTGTTGCTGATAGTTCAGGCCACCGCAGTGATGTCCCTGAGGCGGGGAGGTTAGGGTTCGAATCCCAACCCTGCCACCTAGAAGCAGTGTCAGTTTAGCCCCGCAACTTGACGCCCAGGTATCCCTTCCTCATCGGGACTACGCAGGTGATGGTGTGCCCTCCTGGGTTCGTTTCCTGGGGCTGCTGCAACAAAGCGACACAAGCTAGGTTAACACCACAAATGTTCTGCCACAGTTTTGAGGCACGAGGAGTCCCAAATTGGGTGGCGGCAGGGTTGCTTCCCGTGCCTAGTCCTCGGGTCTGGTGGTTGGCAGCAATCCCGGAATTCCTTGCCTTGTCTCACTCCCTGTGGCTCTGTCGTCGCAAGGCAGCTCCTCTCTGCGTCTCCCTCTCCTTTTTCTAATGAAAGCACCATCATTTGATTGGGGCCACCCTGATCCATAAGGACCTCATCTTAACCAAGTATATTTGCAAAGACCCTCGTTCCAAATATGGTCAGATTCCGAGGCCTGGGTGGACCTGAGTTTTGGGAGGGCACCATTCAACCCAGGCCAGCCCCTCATAGGGTTGTTGTCGCTTAACATTTCATGGCACCTGGGTCACATCAGGAGATGGTAGCCTGCGCATTTCCCCTCCAGCCTTCCCTCCAGTTTAGAGAAGCAGAGCCCTTGCTTTCCTGCCTGTGTCTCCATTACTCCAGCCCGGAGGCACTCAGGCTGTGTGTGTGTGATTGGCAGCTAAGGTTAACTCCAGAGAGAAAAATCTTACCTGGGATAGTCTTTTCCTCAGAACCTGGACTGCGGTGGAGAGGGGAATGGGGTTGGCCAAATCTTAGGGCCTGAGACTGTCAGCTAGAGCCCCCGGGCAGACCCCATTGGCCAGTGGAGCTCAGTGCTCAGACTTCCCCACTCAGCTCTGTTATGCGCCCACTCCTTGGGCGAGAGACCAGAGGGACGGCCGCACCCCATGGCCACTTGGGAGTGGCTTGGCTTGCGGGGGCTAGGAGTGTGCTGGACTCAGTCAAGGGGGGTGGCTTCAGCTCCCTGTTGTAGGTACCTATGCTGGGCTTTGTGCACTGCGGGTACAGTTATTTACCCGGCGTGGATGGTGCAGAGTAGAGGGGGATGGTTGAGGTTGTACTCTTCACCTACGTGCTTCTGTGATGTCCTCTCCGGGGCCAAGGAACAGCTCAGAGCAAGGCACAGAGCAGGAACCACCCTGGGGGCTTGGCAGCACCAACCAGGGCACGAGTAGTGCTGGCATGCCGGCACAGCCGGACGCAGCAATCCGGCCACATGGACTCATTCATGCCTAAGGATGTATTGCCCACTGACCCGGGAGTTCCATTTCTTGAGACTGTCTAAAGAATTAACCCTAAGTGTGGGGGAATCTCGTGTCTGGAGATGTTTGTGGTGAGACCATCTGCAATATGTCGTGTGAGCTGAGGGGCCCGTCGACCGCAGTAGGTGGTTTAGCCACTTGGCGGGATGTACAGCCGCCCGAGCGGCCCCGGTGAAGACTGGGGCCAAGGTAGACACTCGATGACGTGCTGCTGCTGATCTCAGAAGCAGAAAACGTAACTTATATACACCCCGTGGTGTTAGCACAGCATCCATAAAGGAAAGACTGAAAGGCGGAGATAACTAGGTTCCTCTGTAATTTTTTGTATTGTTATATTATTCGGACTTAAAGGAAGGAGTAGAGGGAAGGAAAGAAATGCTGCATTGGGCACAGCCCTGGCCTCGCAGCCCAGCCTTCGTTTGCCGAGAGGGCTGAGCATCCATGACGGGCACAAGCACGGGGTGGGCGGCCAGGCCAGGTCCCTCCCCGTCCTGCGCTAGTCACTTCACAAGGCAGCTGGGAACCTCATCTGAGAGTCCTGAGAGGTCGTAGGTCATTCCATTTTCCTCCCGGGAAACAGAAACCCAAGAAGTGCAAGTCCTGCCCGCCCCTAAAGAGAGAGGGCAGTGCGTTTGATGGTCGAAGGAGGCCCTGGCCATTGGTGAATGCACTGTGCCTGGACACGCTGACCACACTGGGAGTAATTGAGGCAGGGGGTTCCCTGCTGCGCTGGAGAAACTATAAAATGGGGTACCCCTTACTGCTTGGCTTGTTTTTTCCTCTTATGCCACGTTGTTTTCTGCTGTCTATGAAGTTAATGTTATGCCCCGTATGTGTCCCCATAGTCCGGCATAGCCTCTGTATGTAACCACTTCTGATGCCGCCCCACCATTCATGCTCCATGGAGAACAGCAGCTTTCCTGGCCGGGCCCCTTAGTGGAATAACCCGGTTTCTCACACTGCAGATGATCGATCATTGTACAGTGGGCATCCCCGGGGGGTGCACCCCTGGAACTGGAGCCCCTGGGGCCCTGAGGGGTGCACCCTGGCTTTAGCTCATCTTTCTGGGCTCAGGCAAAGAGGCCATGCTGCAGCAGAAGGATTACGAGACGGCCACCCTGTCGGAGATCAAGGCTCTGCTCAAGAAGCACGAGGCCTTTGAGAGCGACCTGGCTGCCCACCAGGACCGCGTGGAGCAGATCGCCGCCATTGCACAGGAGCTCAAGTAAGCGTGGCCTGGCCAGGGGCTGCGGGGCTGCGCGGCTGTGGGAGATGGGCGCTGTGGCCCTGATGCGTGATGGGGTGGGACAGCCCGGTGCCTGGGCAGAAGGTCGTCCCCACAGGTGGGGAATGAGCCAGTGACCCTTCCTGTCACAGGCCTCGGGCCTTACCTGTCACTAGGGCAGGACCAGAGGGTGACCCGTCTTGGCTCTGAGTTCTCCCGGCCTCGGTGGCTCCTGGGTGTTGTGCTTCAGGTGCAGACTGGCAGTGCCTCCAGCTGAGGTTGGGGTGGGGACCTTAGAGAGGAGGACGGGCCTTCTTTGGCCTCCTCCCGATGGTCTCCGGAAAGCAAGGAGTTGGAAGGTTGGGAGGGGCGCCTGGGGGTCTAGATGCAGCGAGCACCCCTGGCGCCCCAGCCTCAGAGGAGGAGAGCAGGCCACACAGGGAGCCTGAGTCACCTGACTTTTCCTGTCTCTTCCCTCCCAGTGAGCTGGACTATTACGACTCACCCAGTGTCAACGCCCGGTGCCAAAAGATCTGTGACCAGTGGGACAATCTAGGGGCCCTAACTCAGAAGCGGAGGGAAGCCCTGGAGGTGAGGGCCCCGGGGGAGACGGGGGCCTGCTCCTGCAGCTCTGCCTGCCCCTTCCTGCTCTGTGACTCCCTTTGCTTCCGGCAAGAATGCTCCCCGGGGCCCCTCAGACCTCGCCCAGCCATGGCCTGAGTGCGGAAGGCTCACATGGGCACTGCGTTTGGGCTTTGCTTTGTGGAGATGCTTCCTTTCCTGCCCTAAACCAGATCTCATCCCCCTGGTGTGGTGCCCAGAGACAGCCTGTTCTTTCTGCCTGAGTTAGCCCAGTGCTCCCAGACCTGGGCCACTTGGGGCTGGCCAGGAGGATCTTGGGGAGAGGGGAGGGATTCTGGAGATGACTCTGCTAACATGTCCCTACCCCCACCCCGTTCGGCACTCCTAGCGGACAGAAAAACTGCTGGAAACCATAGACCAGCTATACTTGGAGTACGCCAAGCGGGCTGCGCCCTTCAACAACTGGATGGAGGGGGCCATGGAGGACCTGCAGGACACCTTCATCGTGCACACCATCGAGGAGATCCAGGTGGGTGCAGCCCCCCTCACCCCTGGTGGCCGGCTCCCCAGCCGTCCTTGGCCCACCCTCTGCCAGGCCCACTCCTGCAGGCTGTCCCTGCAGAGAGAGGACAGAGGACAGCATCCCAAGGGTGTCATAGATTGGAAACCTTTGCATTATATTTATTCTGATTGGGTGACATATGAAAGATGAGAAAGTTGTGCCGGAAGTTCGTGCTCCTATCCCCTGTCCCCCAGAGCCCGTCCCCAGAGGAAAGCAGTATGGCCACACAGTCTCTGCATATGCAAGCAAATATATTTACTTACTAACAGTCTCCTCCACACCCTTTTCTTATATAAAATAGCTTTTATAATAGACTGTATTTTGAATCTTATTTATTTATTTATTGTTAATCCTCACTGGAGGGTATTTTTTTCCATTGATTTTTATTTTTAAAAAAAATGTTTTTATTGATTTCAGAGAGGAAGGGAAAGGGAGAAAGAGATAAGAAACATGTGGAGATGCTTCCTTTCCTGCCCTAAACCAGATCTCATCCCCCTGGTGTGGTGCCCAGAGACAGCCTGTTCTTTCTGCCTGAGTTAGCCCAGTGCTCCCAGACCTGGGCCACTTGGGGCTGGCCAGGAGGATCTTGGGGAGAGGGGAGGGATTCTGGAGATGACTCTGCTAACATGTCCCTACCCCCACCCCGTTCGGCACTCCTAGCGGACAGAAAAACTGCTGGAAACCATAGACCAGCTATACTTGGAGTACGCCAAGCGGGCTGCGCCCTTCAACAACTGGATGGAGGGGGCCATGGAGGACCTGCAGGACACCTTCATCGTGCACACCATCGAGGAGATCCAGGTGGGTGCAGCCCCCCTCACCCCTGGTGGCCGGCTCCCCAGCCGTCCTTGGCCCACCCTCTGCCAGGCCCACTCCTGCAGGCTGTCCCTGCAGAGAGAGGACAGAGGACAGCATCCCAAGGGTGTCATAGATTGGAAACCTTTGCATTATATTTATTCTGATTGGGTGACATATGAAAGATGAGAAAGTTGTGCCGGAAGTTCGTGCTCCTATCCCCTGTCCCCCAGAGCCCGTCCCCAGAGGAAAGCAGTATGGCCACACAGTCTCTGCATATGCAAGCAAATATATTTACTTACTAACAGTCTCCTCCACACCCTTTTCTTATATAAAATAGCTTTTATAATAGACTGTATTTTGAATCTTATTTATTTATTTATTGTTAATCCTCACTGGAGGGTATTTTTTTCCATTGATTTTTATTTTTAAAAAAAATGTTTTTATTGATTTCAGAGAGGAAGGGAAAGGGAGAAAGAGATAAGAAACATCAGTGATGAGAGAGAGTCATTGATCAGCTGCACCCTGCACGCCCCACACTGGGGATGGAGCCCGCAACTGGGGCAAGTGCCCTGACCGGGAATCGAACTGTGACCTGGTTCACAGGTTGATGCTCAGCCACTGAGCCACACCGGCAGAGCTTTTCCATTGATTTTTAGAGAGAGTGGAAGAGAGGGAGGAAGAGATAGATAGATAGATAGATAGATAGAGAGAGAGAGAGAGAGAAACATCAGTGTGAGAGAGACACATCCATTGGTTGTGTCCCGCATGGGCCCTGACCGGGCCTGGGAAGCTAGCCTGTGATCCTTCAGTGTGTGGGCCAACACTGACCACTGAGCACACCGGCCAGGGCTTGAACCTTGATGCTTAATTTAACAGACACCTTGGAGCTTGTTGCATATCAATAAACAGCTTCCTTGTTCTTTTATACAGCTACACAGGTTAGATTGCAAGGGCTTTTGCAAAGCGCTGAGGAAGCCTATGTTGGGGGAGGTCACCTGGGAGCAGGCCTTGGGGCACTCCTTGTTCCTGACCTGACTGTGGGGTGGTAAGCGCCCTTGAGGTCGCTGCTGACTTCACCAGCCCGAGCAGGAAGCTACTGCTTTGATGGCTCTTCCTTCACCTTCCCTGGCCAGCCTGGCCCTCTTGGTTCTGAGCCATGATAATCCTTGGTTGACGGCTTCAGGCCTCCAGGGGCCCTTCTACCCACCTCTACTCTGGGACCTGCAGGGCTGTCTTTGGTCATCTGGCCCATGGGAGGCACCAGCCCCTCCAGTCATTGTTCTTCTCCTGCATCCCCATCTCTGTCCAGGGACTGACCACAGCGCATGAGCAGTTCAAGGCCACCCTCCCGGATGCCGACAAGGAGCGCCTGGCCATCCTGGGTATCCACAACGAGGTGTCCAAGATTGTCCAGACCTACCATGTCAACATGGCAGGCACCAATCCCTACACCACCATCACACCTCAGGAGATCAACGGCAAATGGGACCATGTGAGTCCAAGGGCTGGACTGGGCATTGGTTGAGCCATTGTACGTTTCATAAAGGCAGGGATTTTTGTCCCTTTTTTGGTTGGTTGATTTTTATTTATTTCAGTGTTTCTTGTTATTGTCACATAGTCAAAATTGTCAAGTGAATGAATGACTGAACTTCTAGAGCCGGCCAATATCTTTACTCCTGTGTGTTACTGAGTGGCCCTTCCCTCCTTGGGTCCTCCTTTTCGTCGGAAGTATGGGGCAGGCAGATGGCCCATCCCCCATGTCCCATGGTTGTTCCTGCCCCAGGTGCGGCAACTGGTGCCTCGGAGGGACCAGGCCCTGACGGAGGAGCATGCCCGCCAGCAGCACAATGAGAGGCTACGCAAGCAGTTCGGGGCACAGGCCAACGTCATCGGGCCCTGGATCCAGACCAAGATGGAGGTGGGTCCCATCGTGGGAGGCAGGAATGAGGCTCCCCCTTCCCTGCCCCCATCCCAGCCAGACAGGCTTGCCTTGTCTCCTCCCAGGCGCGACCTGTGGCGGACTGTGGGTCCTGAGCCTGTGACTGGTCTGCTGCCCCACAGAGGGTATGGAGCTCAGGCAAGGAAGCTGGGGGCTGGTCCCAGTGTCTGGTCTTTTATTTTTTAATATTTATTTATAAATACATTGATTTCAGAGAGGAAGGGAGAGGGAGAGAGAGCCAGGACACATCAATGATAAGAGAGAATCATTGATCAGCTGCCTTGAGTCAAGACCCACACAGGGCACCACTAAAGTCCCACGAGAAAGTCCCACAGCAGGATCAGTGCCTGGGTGGCTGACTTGGCTTACCCTTGTGGCTTACCTGGCTGGCCAGGTCTCTTCCTTCATTATCCCTGCACCTAAGCAATGAGTTTGGTCAAGGAGGATGGTCTTCCCAGAGAGAGAACTGAACCTCAGGCAAGCGCGGCACTTTTTGCTGAATTGTGTGGGCCAGATAGAGGGGTGCTGTAGATCAGGGGAGGGATACCTCTTGGGTTAGAGCATGGTGTTCCTCTCAGTTCCTTGAGGGCAGAACCCAGGTTGAGTTCAC